TGACTATTACACCATTCTGTTTCAGTGACTTTTAACCCAATTGGAACAATTGTGGTTACATCTAAACCACCAGAGGAACATTTCAGAGTAAATAACTTATTTAAATACATCCGTTCAAAATTCCTAGAGCTGCTGTCTCAAGTTACTAAAAGGCAGAGGAAAACGATGATATTACATTCCCATTTAAGAGGTAAACAAGCAGGAAGTTTATAAGAGTAATGGGCTGCAGAAGGAAAGTTCTGGTTTTGGCAGAAGTTAGCAATAAGGTGTTTGCTTTGGTTGTGGCTGTGGGTGTCAGTAAGCTGGTCCATGAGTTTGCAGCACTGTTAATCAGAGCAAGAGAGAAAAACGTAAGGAACTGTGCTGGTTTGTGGTCCAGGTTCAGGTTTAAGGAAAGCCAGGAAAGGCTGGGAGGAGAGGAAGGAGAGGAAACTTCTGGCAGAAGATTTTCTTTGTGGTTTCTCAGATTATTTATACTGCTGTGAGTCATGCATGCTCCCCACTGTTGTCATGGATGGAGCTGCAGGTCATTGGCATGTATTTAGCCCAACCATTAGCTATGGTTCTGCCTCTGTTGGCAGCTAGGTAAGCTGTGTAAAATGCATGGGTGATCTCCACCAAGTTTTAATTAGGCAGCTGCCTTCATTAAAGAGCAAGTTTAGCAATTTCCCCAAACAGTCAATCGCAGTTGCAGCGTGAAGGATAAAATAGATTGATGTATTAATAAAGACTGCTGGTTAATGACTGGCTTTGGCTCGCTCTCCAGAGCAGCACCCCGAGGGCAGGGCCGTGATGCTCAGAGCTGGGGGACAAGTTGTACCTATGATGCTTGGGCTATTCCTGCTTTGTGGCTCAAGGACTTAGGTTTCCCCAGCTGTCAGTCTGGCTGTGCCTTTTCATCCTGTGATAGTTTTCATTTTTTTCTCCTTCATGGCTGTCTAAATGTTGGGTTCCCTGACTTTCCTTCAGCTGTAATTTTGACAACATTGGGTTTCTCTTGGTCTTTCCTGGGTTTTAAATGCAATATCTACTTCAACTATCTAGCAATGCTACTTCTTAAAATAACTATTATTTTAACAGGCTGAAATCTATTAGAAGATTCTCGGATGTTATATGCGAAGAGCTGTAGACTGCTTCTACAGGCAGGGATCTGACACCTTAGCTTTTGTCTGAGATGAATACCAGTGAGAACACAGGATGAAATTTCACCAAACATCTGCTTTTAATTGTGAGCACATGGTACTTACTCAACAGGATCAATACCTTGGGGTACTCCTGATCTTTGAGGTAGGGAAAGGAAGTGATGGATTAGACCAGAAGTTTTCAACCGCCTCTGACATGCAACCCATCCCCCCTTCTACAGCTCCAGTTTCCAATGGAGCTGCACGTGCCCTGCTTGCAGTAAATTTATTTTTTCTTTCCTTTTTTTACACCAATGCTTCATAAGTTATCTATGAACCTGCAGGTATCCCTGGGTTAGAAAACCACTGTATCACTCCAGCAGAAGCATCCATGTCTGTGTAAATGAGTCCTAGATTTCCCTTCTTGCACATCAAGACAAGGTTTTGTGTCCAGTATTGGTGTTTCACTGAGAAGACTAGCACCTTATAAGCGTGGCAGCCCAGCAGTGCCAGAGTATCTGTTGGTGCTGTAAAAGTATTTCCGTGAAGAATATTTACAGAACGGATTTATTGGTTTAAATAGCTGTGTGGCTCGCAAGTTTGTCGGGTCAAAAATGCAATAGGAAACCACTGTCAACATTGCAGCACCAGCTGAGGAAGGTCTGGAGACACTGTGTCGAATGGTCAAGAAGACGCTCACTTTAAATACACCTTGGACTGCTGCCTAGAAGAAGGGAGGGATTCAGTAGCCGAAGTTTACATTACAGGCTGTGTTGGAGGCTTCCACCAACAAACAAGAGCAGGCAGACGTGTCTGTCTGCAGCATTTCAGGGCACTGTGCTTAGAAGGGACTTTTCCCTTTTGCCAGATGTTGGCTGCTCCTCTTGGCATCGATGGCAAAAATGCATCAAGCTCAGCTGGAGCATCTTTCAGTGATACTTACGGTGACCTGTGGATACACGTGCACTGTAACATAGAACAAAAAAGGCATAAAAGACAGTCTTTAATTCCACACGCATAAGCTAAGTGCTTATGCAGAAAATTAAAATTCACCAGCTGTATATCTGCTGCAATCAGTGGAATCCACAGTTGCTTAGGAGACAGAAAGAGCTGCAGAAGGTGATACGAATATCTAGTGGAAGAAATTCTTTGACACTTGCCTATGGAGCATAACCAAGGATTTCTTAGGAAAAGAAAATCCCCAAGCACAAAACAGAAAAGAAAGGAAGTTCAGGGAGCTATTTCTTCAGCATGCCTAGAAATGATTACAAAAATAGTAAATCTGTGTGTAAAGCAGCAATTAAGGAGAAGACCAGGGAAAAGCTCTTGTGTTGTTACTGGGAAGTAGTTCCCTGCCCGCAACCCTCTGTTCTCTGCTTTTATCAGCTCTGGAGCTCACCTGGCTCAGCTGAGACAGTTCAACCCAATCCAATAGAAAGCTGCTCAATTTCTTTCTTGATTAGCCTTCCGTTCTTCCAGTGTGTTGAACTGGCTCAGCGTAAGGTGAGACAAACCCATTACACATGGCATGCAGAGAATTTAGTATATGGGAAGGAAGAAGGAGGAGAAGCTGTTCTCTCTTCTGTGGCAGAGGTTCTGTTGAACAATTCCAGCCTTGCTGTATTGCCTCAGCCTTCACTCTTTGTGATGTGGCCTAAGTAGGTTCTTGGGCAAGAGAGAACTGAGGCCAGCTATGGGACCCAGCCCTTGTATTCTGAGGCTATGAGTTCTTCCTAGCCACATGCCCTACAGTTCTCCATTGTTCCTGTTGTCTTTCATCCTTCTCATGCTCTTGACGTCGTATTCTTATCTCTTCTTCTCCGCTTTTTAACCTCATTTGCTCACTATGGTCTTCAAAAAAGATTGTTTGTAACCACTTCTATTAGCAGAAAGGAAAACAGAGGAAGACCACAAGAAAGGAGGAAACCACAGAATAAATAAGAATTGAACATTACCATGAGAACTTCTTTTGATCCACAGAAAAAATAAATAAGTGCTTCCGTGTCAGCTGGTAAGGAAAGGTGAACAAACCTGCTAAATACAGATTATTTGTTGTCTGGAACATTGTTTTCCTCATTGTACGTCTTTGAGGAGCAGTGACAATATGTCTCAAAATGTTGTTACAACTTCACATTCGAGAAGTCTCAGAGATCATTTTCCTTCCCTCTCCCTGTTCCCAACACCTCTATTTTAGTTCCAGATATCCTCATCGACACACAAACATAATCATAGCTCCTGACGCATATGCATGGAATAGCACCTGATGTCTGTTTTCAGTACCACTGGTTGTAACAAAATGTGACAGCATCTTGCCCAACAGGCATTTTACAGAACAGGTATTTTATCTGCTCAGCCAGCTTTTATTTTAAAAGACTGAGAGGCAGCACAAGATCAGTGGCAGCTGTGGCACGTATAAACATCATGTTAGCCTGACTTCAGGACAAAACAATATCGTTCAGCTCTGATTAAAGAAACCCCTCCACTGTAGAGTACCCTGGCTCTATGTGTTTAGCAGCTCCCTGTGCCTCGCTCTCCACCTGCTCCTGTGCTCACGTCACCACAGTGATGCTCTAATCCAGCTGCCCCTTGGCTGTGTTCACAGCTCAATGATGGATCGAGCCAAGAAACAACCACAGGACAGCATGGGCAGATTCAGGTAAGTGTGGGCAGTGAGCTGAAGTGTAGTGATGTGCCACAGCCACACGTGAAGCTCACAGTGCATCACACAGCAATAAAACACAGGACGTTGCCTCTTTGGAAAATCAGAATGTCTTGGGTTGGAAGAGATGTGTTAAAGCCCATCCAATTGCAATCCCTTGCAATTATCAGGGTTGCCACCCAGGAGCTCAGGATTCCCAGGGTCCCATCCAACCTGGCCTTGAGTGCTTCCAGGGATGGGGCACCCATAACTGTTCTGGACAGCTTGTCTTATCACTGTAAGTCTGTGTAAAAAGTCAGTCCTCCTCCCATTTATAATCTCCCTTTGATTACTGAAAGGCTGTGGTGAGGTATCCCCGAGCTTTCCCTGTGTGCAGGCTGAACAAGCCCAGCTCTCACCTTGTTTTCATAGGAGAGGTGCTCCAGCCCTTTGCTCATCCTCATGGCTTCCTCTGGACCCTCTCCAACAGTGTGGAGAGGGTCTTCTTGTGCTGGCAGCCCCACACCTGGATGGAGCCTCACGAGAGCAGAGCAGAAAGGCACAACCACCTCCCTGGCCCTGCTGCCACCCCCTTTTTTTTTGATGCAGTTGGCTTTCTGGGCTGCAAATGCACACCGTTGGCTTGCATCAAACTTTTCATCCACCAGAACACCCATGTCCTTCTCTGCAGGGTTCTTCTCAATGAGTTTTTCTTCCAGTCTGGACACATATCTAGGATTGCCCTGACCCGAGGACAGCAACCTGTGCTTGGCCTTGTTAAAACTCATTGGCTTCACACAGGCCCACCTCTCCAGCCTGCCCAGGTCCTTCTGGATGGCGGCCATCAGGGGAAAAGAGGTGATCTCTTTATTTGGGATAGCAGCGAACTCGGGGACGTACCCAAGTGCTCTCCAAACCCCAGCCTCAGAGCAAGCACCCAGTATTTGTAGAGTGATTAAAGGATGTGCCGGGCTCATCCTTGAAGCTCCAGCAACACAAAGCACCTTTATCGCCGAGCAAGGAGGAATCGCTGCTCCTTCCCACGCAGCTCTTCCAGCTCCTGGCTGCGAAACCCACTCAGGCTGAGGCGCAATACCCCAGGAAGGCGCACCTGCACCGCCCGCCTTCCCCGCAGCAGCGGGCAGCACCGCCTCCCGCTCCCTCCCCTCAGCCCCCGACCCGGGCGCGCTATAAGAGGCGGCGGCGGCGGCGGCGGGGCCGGCAGTGGCGGGGTGGCCGCCATGAAGCCGCCTCAAGCGCAGCGTGCGGCGGGCCAAGGTAGGACTGAGGGATGGCGGCGGGATCCAGTGGGAGGAGGAAGGGTTCTGGTCTCACCGCGCAGCGGTTCGCTCAGCCTCCGCTTTCTTTTCCCCCTCAGCCGGCGGCCGGCGTCCCGCGGCGTTGCAGGAGGAGGCGGGCGGCTTGGCGGAGGCTCTGGGAGAGTTCGAAGCGGTGCTGGAGGACTTCGCCTGCCCCGCCGGCCGGAGCCGCTTCCACTACGGGGAGCACCTGGAGCGCATGAAGCGGCGGAGCAGCGCCAGCGTCAGCGACGGTAGCGGCCTCAGCGACTCCGAGAGTGAGTGCGGGTCGGTCGGTCGGTCGGTCTGTCTGTCTGTCTGTCTGTGCTTGCGGGCAGACTGCGCAGAAAACTTTCTTAGAGTTGCTTTGGATTTTGCCTTCGTTCAAGCGAAGATGCGATGGATGATCACGTAATGTGTCTGGCGTTGCTGTTCCTTGTGCGGTCTGCGGCGTTGTTAAGGCGCTGTCTGCTCTTGCGCTCTGGTGCAAAACAAGAGGCGCTTAAATTGATCGCTTTGAGAGTCTCCGACTAGGGAAATGCTCTCCTATTGGGAAAGGGAGGGGGTGAAATGCAAACAAACAGCAGAAAACTCCAAGAAAACAGCATCAAGAACTTAAGTTGTGTCTATGGAAGAAGATAGACCGCTGTCTGTGGTTACTTGGCATGTCTGCTCTGACTCACAGTCACACAATGGCCAGGGTTGGAAGGGACCTCAAGGATCATGAAGCTCCAACCCCTGCTGCAGGCAGGGCCACCAACCTTTCCATTTAATACTAGACCAGGCTGCCCAGGGCCCCATCCAATCTGGCCTTGAACACCTCCAGGGATGGGGCATCCACAGCCTCTTTGGGCAGCCTGTTCCAGCACCTCACCACTCTCTCTGTAAAGAATTTCCCCCTGACATCCAACTGAAATGAAAGGCATTTTGGGGAAAACAAAGGTGTTCCTCTGATTGGGGCAGAAGATCTAGTGAGAGACTGCATGCTCTCGTAAATCAGCAGGTGGGATCTTCAGGAAGATCTGGAAAATAATAACTTATCACAAGGGTGAGCTGATTTAGACTGAATACATCAATGGAATAGCACAGTAGAAAAGAGTTGGCTCTGTGCAAAGTCCTAAAGGATCTTCACTTAGGATCTTGTCTAATGCCCAGTCCTGGTATGTAACTGAGTTTCTCCCTTACTCATGTCTAAAGGGGATGGCTATGGAAGAATTAGAAGTTTTCAGGGTGCTCATGTGTGCACTAAGAGTCCTATTAGGATCCAGCTGCCTCAACCATGCAAGGGTATATTTACAGGAAAAGGAAAAGAACATCAGTCTGCTTTCCTCCTTTCTTAGAAAAGTCCTAGTAAAACACTTGCAAAAGGCTTCATTCAGGGCAGGCAACTTTTTCTTTTGAAGAGAGAGTAGAGTTGGAGAGGAACTGTGGATTTATGAAGAGCTCCTTGTACAAAACAGGCTCCGGTGTCTGATGTAATCCAGCAATGCTCCCTGTAGCTATTTCAAGAATAGGTGTAGGGAGTTTTCTACTTACCCAGGCTCTTTCCATTCAGACTGAAGTTTTCTCCCTAGGGCTGCCTTTCACTTGGTCTCTGTCCTGCAGCACAAGTGCAGTGCTAAATTCATGACCTCGCTATTCTCTTGGTAACACGTGGGTTAAACATCACTTCAGGATCAAGGAGGAGCTGGGCTGAAAGAGCAAGTAATTGCAATGTAACAAGGCGAAAGAAGTGCCAGCAAGGTTATCTGCAGATGGTTTGCTTTATGGTCTTGTTCATGAAGGCTCTGTCTCTGCAAAGTCTTATTATGCATTGCTGCAGACTATTCTAAGAATATCTCGTCATGTATTTACAGAGCAGTTCCGACTGTTACGTTTTAGTTTCCCATCAAGAAGATAAAGTACTGATCTCATCTCTGCTGATGTGAAGTAGCTGAAGGTTAGGATTTCTGCCACTCCCGTGGTGGTATCTTTGACTGTAGGGTGTGTGTGTGGGGGGGGGGGGGTGGAGGGGAGGGGAGGGGGGATGTTTTAAGCTGTAACTCAATTTCAGGGCACTTCAATTGGTCTACAATTTACTTTTCTAGAAGCTAGTAACTGATAGCAAATGGTCATAAAAATACTGTTTTACAGTGTGGTAAGGAAAGGACTCTCCCGGGACTTCTGCCGTGAGGGTGATTCCATTTAATTTAAACAGAAGGATTTACAAAAGATTGTTTTCAGTGCAGTTAAACCAGCAAATAGTGCTTTGTGGGGGTTTTGTTGCTTTTCTTTTTTTCCTCAGTTTAAAAATCTCTTCTTGGGGAAGGTGGCACCAACAGCACTAATGGAAAAATTTCTATGACGTATTCTGACCTCTTAAGGAGAAGAAAAAAAAAAAAAGATTGAAGATGCTACTTTGGAAAGTGGATGTGATAGTGCTTGGCTCTCCCACTTCTCACCCTGATGTTTGATTAGATGATCTTTGGACCAGGTCTGTCTTGGCTGTGGTTAAGCATTACATCTAACACACTAGACTCTAGAGCTTACGGTAATGAAAATGCTAGCATGTGCAGATGTTCATGATGATGTTAGTGCTTGGCACACAAGTGTTACATTAACCACAACAGCTGATTGAGTCACTGCTGGAAACCATGATGCAGTTGGGGGTTCAGTCCAACAGGCATTCTTGGATGAATACCAATTCTGTTTTGACTTTGATGAATTCAACTGAAAGAATAGCAGCTTCATGCTCCAGGTTATTGATTGTGCAGAAGCCTCTGAGTTGAGGGATATCTTTGTTTTTCACTGTGTATGTTCATTGTGATAAAATAGGATTTGGATTAGAGAGTGCGGTCTAGTTAGATTCTGCTAGCATAAATGCAGCAGAATTTATAGAGTTTACAGCTATCATTTGCTGCTGGTGTGTTGGAATAAGCTTAAGACCTGAGGGAAAGGGCCTGGAGCTGTTTTAGGGAGTGTTAGGTTCAGCCTTAAGGGAAGGTTCTTCATAGAGGGTGGTTGGCATGAAAGAGGTTGCTCTGGGCAGTAGGCACAATCCCAAGCTGCTGGTGTTCAAGGAGTGTTTGGATGCTGCTCTCAGACACAGGGTTTGATGTCTGGGTGGCCTTGTGTGGAGCCAGGAGTTGGAGTTCATGGTCCTTGGGAGTTCCTTCCAACTAATTTGATCCTGTGGAAGAGTAGAGGCTTGCCTGTGCAAATTCTCTGTTCACTTGATGTATTTTGTTTTACAGTACATATATTAATGTCAGGACAATCGAGTTTAGGCTTACAATAATGAACAGAGAGGAATACTACAAGAGGTAGAGAAGAAAAATGCTTTAGCATTCTACCAAAGCTTCATTAACATCTAGAAGCCAATTACCATAATTTGATGGTATACTCTGAATTGTTTAGACATCAGCTACAGATGCATTTTTTTTTTCTGGAACAGGTTTGGCTTCCAGTCTGCCTCTTAAACAGCACAGCAAAATAAAATATGTCAATTCAGTTCTTGCACTGATGTAGCCTGCAGTGCATAGCTATTTTTAGGGGCATGTAAATGCTTTCTGACCAATACCTCCTGGCTTTTAAACACAATGAAAGACCACGAGTGCATCTGGAGCTCTTAATTCTTTAATTCAAAGCCGAGCAGGTGCAAGTTTCAGGGGCTGAATCACTGGTTAATGTGCAGTGCCAGGCATGGTGCAAGGAGTCATAGTTACATGCATGGAAGTCTGTGGGGTTGGGCTGATGCCTCTCTGAAGCTTCAGCCATTGCAGCACTCGTCCTGAAAAGCCAGTTTACGTATGTGATCTATTGCAGTATGTAGGGAAGTTGCAGAGGGATGACAGAAATGAGTGAAGAGATGAAATAGTTTCCAAATGACTGACTAGACTGAGCTGCCAGCCTAGAGATGAGATGGCTTGGGTGGGGACAAGCTGTCTTCCAGAACATCCCAAATGACATCAGGAAAGTGACTGCGACCTCGCCCAGTATAAGAAAATAAAATTAAGCCAGCAAGACTCAAATAATCACGGAATCAAAGAATGGCCAGGGTTGGAAGGGACCTCAAGGATCATGAATCTCCACCCCACCCTGCCACATGCAGGGCCACCAACCTCCACATTTAATACTAGACCAGGCTGCCCAGGGCCCCATCCAACCTGGCCTTGAATACCTTTAGGCATGGGGCATCCACAGCCTCTCTGGGCAAAAATGATCTGAATAATGTTTTAGGTTACTGATACACTTAAGGGAAAGAAAGCCAAGGGGTGTCAGGTACACATGCTTCTTGCCAGGTGTTGCAGTTTAATGAGAACTATGCTTTTTGGTAAGGTTTCTTGTTCTTGCCTCTCTGGCATACTTATTTCTTTCCTGTCCTTCAGAAAGAAAACCTTAGGGAACGGGATGACTGGAGCTGGCAATGCTGCCTCACCAGTAGTAGGCATGATGGAGGAATAAGATGATAAGCTTTGAAATAATGAGAAGTTGATCTTGCTCATCTGAGTTTCAGATGTCCAAGATCACTTCCTTGTGACTATTAGCTGTGTGATCTCAAATCTCTTACACTGTTCAGCCTACACATGCCAATGGTGAGAGGTGTGAGATTCCAGTGGCTGTGCTGTAACAGATGGTTGATGGCTGGGCAAAAGCAGCGAAACAATGCAATGAAATGCAAGTGTGATTGTGATGAACCAAGCCTTCTCCTTGAGGGCCACAACATTCATGTTGTGAAGCGAGCTCTGAGTAGTGAGTATTTCTCACTTCTGTGGGTTGCATTCAAACCCAGATGTTTTATTTGCAGCACGTATCTGTATTCTGACTTGCAATTAATTATGCAGTCTATTCATTAAGTGCTGAATATTGTTACATAACGAACTCACAATTTGCAGACTTAAGTGGAATTGCAGACCTTTTTCTCTGAAGACTTTGGGAATGAGGTATTTTTCTTCAACTTCACTCATTGCAAATTATAGTCAAAGCTTTTACTGATTCCAGTTCTTCTTCGTACCATGTGCTGTGCTATGGTTCTATAAATAACATAATAATAAAGAAATCAGACAGCTGGTCTCTTCTGTTTCATTTTAAAACAGACAGCCTTGGAGGCTTTCCTCCTTCAGTTAGTTACTGTCCAGAACCTTCCAGTTGTTCACGTCATGGGAACATGCTTATACTTTCATGGTACTGCAGTGTTGCTCTTTTTGTGGTTTATTTATATACTGGAACACCAAAGGTCAATGCTAACTACAGATTACGTTGCCAAAGTAAAATACACCCATATCTGTTGCAACCCCCTAATTTTGCCTCTATTGGCTTCGTTTAGCTCAGTTGCTTAACTATCAGATTTTAAGTTTTTAGTTTTTTTTAAAGACAGTTCTAAGAGACATAGTTTGTACATGGCACACAGGCAGTAGAATCACAGAATGGCCAGGGTTGGAAGGGACCTCAAGGATCCAACTTCCCTGATGCATGCAGGGCCACCAACCTCCACATTTAATACTAGACCAGGCTGCCCAGGGCCCCATCCAACCTGGCCTTGAACACCTCCAGGGACGGGGCATCCACAACCTCTCTGGGCAGCCTGTTCAGCACCTCTCTACTCTCTCTGTAAAGAATTTCCCCCTGACATCCAACCTAAATCTTCCCTGCTTCAACTTAAAACCATTTCCCCTTGTCCTGCTGTTATCTACCCTTTCAAAGAGTTGATTCCCCTCCTGTTTGTAGGCTCCCTTTAGGTACTGAAAGGCTGCAATGAGGTCACCCCGCAGCCTTCTTTTCTTCAGGCTCAACAAGCCCAGCTCCCTCAGCCTGTCTTCTTAGGGGAGGTGCTCCAGCCCCCTGATCATCTTTGTGGCTCTCCTCTGGACCCTCTCCAAAATCCAACTGCAGAAGAATCCAACTGCAAAGCCAAAACCATTAATGGATGCAAGATGAACTTGCATCACAGAGAGGGAAGGGGTTGGATGAAGAAGGGCAGCAGCAATGAGATTCTTGGCATCAGCCTCCAGCTATTAAGTTGCAGGGGATGTTATATTTGCATGGCAGTGGAAGTCTTCCAGGGCTCCTTATTGAAGGCAAGTCAGTGAGCCTGGGCTGTGGCAGGACTGGAGTGTCCTTTTTCCCAGAGCTGCCTGCCCCAGAGCTTACATCACTTACGAAGGTGGTGGTTTTGCACTGTGGGTACCACAGGAATTCAACAGTGCTTTGTTTTCAGTTTTTATTTGCAAAGTTGATATTCCCAGCACCAAAATCACTGCTGCTTGGTGGCAAGCATAAGCCAAAGGCACTGCCTAAAACACCACTCTGCTTCTTGTGAAAGATAAATAGCCATATATGCTTGAAGTGGTTTAATTTTACAGCCCATCAGAGGGTACCTCTGTTCTGTGAAAGCTTTTCACCTTTCCCTGCTTTTAATACATTGTGAGGTCAGTGGTCAGTACTTCCAAGTGTTCATAGAAGGACTACAGGGAAAAATACAACAGGAATCAGGATGATGAAGAATTCAGGCATGTGTGTGGATGTACATAAAAATGCACAAATAGATTGAGGTCAATTTAAATGGCACAGTAGTCTTCTGAAATCTGAGTTGCCTTCACAAGGGTTCTCAAAAAGAAGCCTTTATTTCAGCCATGGGTAAAAGCAACAGGAGCTTTGGATGTAATGCATGAGAAGCACAGGTTTGTAATAGCTTCCCAGCATCGTTACATCTGGTGCCTGGATACCAGTAGCATGGGCTTTGCAGTGAAAGTGTACTCAACTTCATAGCTTTTGTTCTCTGGATTACTTCTTATGAATTCACCAAACTTTTAAAATAAACCCCTTGAGAATTCACAGCCTGTTCTTCCCAAATGTTACCTCAGACATGTGTTTCATCATTGGTCTGTTCTGTTGGTGTTTCATTGGGTTGTATCCTTGGCTATTGCCGTTTGTGTGAGGTGTTATTTGGCTTTTTCATAATGGCAGGGCTTTTATCCCAGTTAAAATTTTCCATTCTGAGTTCCTTGTTCAATAGGGTTTGCATCTTGGCTAAAAACTAATGTGGTTTTAGTTGAAAGTTGCTCAATTTCAGGAAGAGATTTGTCATATCTTTAACTATGACTTGAAACCCACTAATGTGCTAGGGTTCATTTCATTGTACAATGCTGCTGAGAAGATGATGATGCAGAGCAGAGTCAGATTCCTTCTCTCACTTCTTATGAGGATTAGTTAATCTTTTTAGGAGCTGCTTCAAAAAACATTTATGTCTTTTTTCAATGCTTTTTCTTTCTGAAGCTCTCAATTCTGCCCTGTATTCCCCAGATCTGCCAGAAGTTTCAAGTAGGCTAGTTCTGATCCCCTCAGGTTTAGACAGAACAGGTATTTAAGACTGAAGCTGCAGAGATCGTGATGAAAAGTTAGTATGAAGCATCATCCCACTTCTGCACCAGAAGTACCAGCAGCTGACTTGGCCAAGCCATCATTTCAGATATCAGATGCCATTTTGTTTGCACAGTGCTGTGAGTAGCACGTGCACTTGTAGCAGGAGCTGAGCTAATAGCAGAGGGAACTGTATGGTGAGGTATGATGATACTGTGATAGCCCAATATACATATGTATAAGAGAAAAGATCTGCCAGGGTGAAGCCCCTCACGTAAGCATTTGCAGTTGTGTGATGCAGCAGACAGTTGGGCAGGTCAGCATTTCTGTCCTTAATGAGGCACTGCCTGTTTCTGTATGTTATTGCCACAGCAAGTGATATAATTATGCCTCATATAATAACGATGCTTCTGAGGAACCGTTTCTCTCCCAGAGCTCTTAATTCACTTTTAAAATAGCTTCTGAAGAATTCTGGTTACTGAAATTTCCCAGAATACTGTGAATCATTCTGGCCTTGTGAGATTTAACTTAGGTTGATAGGATGATTGCTGTAATACTCCCTAGGTGATGCTAAGTGCAGGGGATGCTTTCCTTTCCAGGAGACAAGGAAAGGACCCAGGACTTCTTCCTTTTAAACAGTAGGTGTGGGAACAATAGCCTCCAAACAATAAGTTATTTACTCATCCCTCTGGCTTTCAAGTTGGTAAACTTCAGTTCTCCAGACTTTGAAGCCCGTGTGAGAAACATTCTGTTTTTTTCATTTAATCCTATTGCAAAATTTGAGACAGTGCTATTTTTAACTTGAAATGATTTTGTTTTGTTTTGTTTTGTTTTGTTTTGTTTTAACAGGTGCAGATTCACTCTACAGGAGTAGTTTCAGCCTCAGTGATGAAAAACTTAACTCTCCAACTGCATCTACTCCAAGCTTGCCATCTCCATCAGTAACTCCTTGTAAAGGTAAACTTAAATCCTCAGTGTTTCTCCTGAATTCTCAACTATATAGGCTTCTCCCTTTGGGCAAAGATACACATTTATGCATGAACTCTCAGTTTTGCTTTCATTCAAAAAAAAGGATTACTGATAAGCACACTACAAGTGCAAGAATTATTGCTGCTTCTGGTCAACACAATGTCATGAGGCATCCATGCTTCTTCACAGGTTATTCAGTAGCTTTTGGTTTTGAATTGCCCAGCTACAGAAAGTTCTTTGGTTAGTCAAATCTGTTACAAAACTGCTTACAGAATATTCACTTTAGAATTAACAAGTCTAACTTAAGCAACTAAGTAGCCTTAGTATCCTGTCTGTGCACAGAAATGCTTAGCTGTGGGGCTGCAATGTCTGACTGGTTGCAAGTTACAAATAAAAAGTTCTTTTACTAATTACCAAGATGCTAGGCAGAAATGTGTCATAGTTAATGAGAAGTAGGGAGTTAAGTGTTTCAGTTAAACTGGTACTACTCAGTTAATACTTGGCCAGGAGTCGCACATGAGATCAAGACCTTTTTCCTGATGAGAAAGTAGAAATAGTTGGGACCACCCTGCAATAGACTTTGGAGGTGAGATAAAGAAGCCACTTGAAATAAACCTAGGTTGAATGGAACCAGTGATGTTCTCAGCAGTGGAAATTTGAGTAAATGCTTGGATGTAAACTGAACGTGTGTGGATCTTGATCAGAGGATCTAACATCTAGCAAACCACAGATAGATGAGGTTTGGATTTGGGCAGGACTAGGAGCTAATTGAGTAGGGTAAGGACATGAATGCAATATCTGAATGCAGTAATAAAAATTCCACATTAGCAAGGTTGACCTTGCTATTCCAAGTAAACTTGACCTACAGCTTTTTTTCCCCACATCTTCTGTGTGTTCTTTTAAAGGAAGCTAAACAGGCTTGGCTTGCCTTTGTCAAAATGATCAAAAGCTTTAATTTTCAGTTATTTACCTTCTTCTCTAAGAGTGCATTTGGACACTGCAGCAACCATCAACTTCTCCAAAAGCAATCCAGAGCTGATTTGATACCACTAAAAATGATTTGGAGGATTGTGTGGTTCCAGTGGTTTCTTTTGTCACGTCTTAATACTGACTATCCCTTCCTAATCTGCAGCAAAACTTGGAGACACAAAAGAACTGGAAGAATTCATAGCTGATCTTGACAGGACACTAGCAAGTAAGTAAGTTTTTAGGAGACTGCTTATTGCTTTGTCTCTGATTACAGTCATGGGGTGATGAAAGCCAGTGTATTGGTGGAAGTTGTATATTCCAGTTGTCTACTGAGTTCTTCATTATGATTTGAGAGGAGTGTGGGTAAACAAAATAAAGAAGCCAATCCAATACCATGTTCCCCACCACGTATTCTGCCTATTCTTTTTCTTCCTGTGCTGTTTGAGGTGTGATACTGGGTGATTTTTTCCCCATGGACCAGGGCGTAGAACCCAAAACAACAAAACATAGGACTAGATCTACAGAGCCACATGTTCAAAAGCTATGAGCTGGGTGTTTTTATATTTGTTGGAGGTATTTTCCTTTCCCCATAATTCTTGAAGCCACAACCATCTGTCTTGGTTTTAACTCAAGAGAGCTGTCCTTACAAGCTTCTCACTTCCCTGTCTCAGAAGTGAAACCAGGATTAAGATATTTCTAGCTTCCTGATTATTTGTTTATTTATTGTCTTATATGCATGCTTGAGCCAACTGTCCTTACCACTCAAACTCAAACTTAATTGACAAATTGGTCTTCTGAGAAACTTCTGAGTTTGCAAGTTTGGGGATTTTTGTTCTCTATGAATCTCCAAATTTGACTTAGCTGTTGTCTTGCACAGCTGTCTTGCAGCTAACTGTGAAGGGGCTGGTAGTGCACTGACTTCACTGCCTCCTTGCAGAGCACAGCTAAAGTGAGGCTAGGAATTGCTACTTGCTGTGCTAGTTCTTACCAACAAAGAAACCTTTGGCTACCTCAGCAGATTCTCATTTATAGGGTCACTAGTTTTACAGTGATGTGCCATCTTTTTCATACATTGAAGTTCTAGGAAAGTCTAATTTCCATCTGATATTTCACTCTTTTTTCTGAGGAGTCACTATTTACATGCTTTGAGGTTACACAGACTTTTGTAGCAGCTTCTTGAAGCATAATACAACTATTAGAATAATAATAGACCTGAGTTCTTATGTTAACCTTTTGCCTTTCATATTACTTCTTAAAAAACATTAAAAAAAACCACAATAGTTGTGCCTGTCAGGCAGCTAGCAATCTTACTAAATACAGACTTCATAGTTGCTCTTGTTTTGTATTTCCAGGTATGTGAAATGAATCTTTGGCACTGCTTGCCTGTGGATGTCATCTGAAGGATAAGTGACATCAGTGGTGGAGAACTGCTGCCTTTGTCTGATAACTTTGCTACCCAAGATATTCACCTTGTGAACACAACCTTTGTAAACTCCTACAAGTATTTAATTGGCAAACATCAGTGTTGTTACTTTGCAGCAGCTGGAATCAGATAACTTAAATTTTCCAGCTATATTTTACCTTAAAATATAGCTTGAATTTTAATTTAAAGTTGCTTTTATGAAAATATATTTGTAATTTTATATAGTTGAGAACTTTTAATGCTTTTTTCCATTATAATATATTTTTATACAAATAAACCCTGAACTGGAATCCAGATCTCTGAAACTTTCATATGAACATGTGAGCTGTGAAACATCAGTACAAATTATGCACTTACTGAAAACATGGAGCTTGAAAATATCTGATAAGACTGTATTTTTTATTAGGCAAAATGTATTACACTGTCTTCATACAGGACTTCATACTGTTCCTATCAAATTGCTTGAGTAAGTATTTTTTACTCTGTAAAATTTTACTACAGTCAGGAAGATAAAGTTAGTTTTTATTTATATTAAAGGTAATCTGAAATAACATTGACTTAGTACAGATTTGAACAATAACACCTATTTTGAACCCTGTCTGAAAGCTGTCTTTAAAGTTACATGTCATTCTCTATTAAGTACTAATTAGGAGGTTAGGAATTTAGGCCTAGGAGTTTAAAGAGATACTGCAGCATCGAGAAAATGCTCAAATGTCCAGAGTCAGAAAAACCTGAACACTCGTGTCCTTTAAAAGGACTGCCTGACCATTGCTGTCTTGCTGCAAGAGTGGAAGGTGAAGCTGTATTCTTTTGTTTTGTATAAAGAACCTGATTCTTTCCATATGCATTAAGCACTGAAGATAATGTGTGAGCTCTCCTTCAGCTGCTGCAGGCATTACACTCAGCTCTGCTGTCCAAGCTGCTCATGTGATTGCCTCTAATCCTTTCAAGCAAAGTGAGCTAGACTTGTTTAAGCTGCAGGTCTTATTTTGATTGTAGCAGGCTAGTGAACAGTCACAGAAATGGTTCAAGTATTGTGCCCCTTGGAGCTGTTATCTTTAAAAATGTGGCCATGGCTGGAAAAGGATGCATCTGCACCAATGGCACAGTGACCAGTTGCTTAGGGGCTTAGCAGGTGGATTTGGACCTGTCTTCTGCAACCTAGGGGGAGCGTAGTCTGTGTTCTTTGATAATGGAAGCAGCACGATCAAATCCACCCCTCTGCTTTGGATTTTCAAACAAATAATCAAGAACTTGGATTGTGTTAAGTGTAATGTGTTTGGATTTTTTTTCTTTCTGGTTTTCTTCACAGATAAGAAAATGGAAATGGTGTCCATGCCAATAAGACTGAAACACTCTTAAAATACTTGTTTGAGCTGTTCCTTCTTTCAACCAGAAGGAGTATTTTCCTGAACAAGAAAAATTCCTTTGTTTCCTATGGCAGATTTAGTTGCTAACTTGACAGTTGGAATAGAAATGGTGTGAGCTGGCTTTCTGCTAAAGACCAGGACACTTGGAATAGCAGATGATTCTATAATAAGAGTATAAATGCAGAATACTGGTGATAAAATTAAAAAGATTAAGAGAGTGAGGTTTCTTGCTGTTCTGGAAGAACTGTAATAATTTGTGTTACAGGAACATGGGGAAGTCCTAGTGATGTGCTTCTGTGTGCTCTAGGACCTTACTGAGATTCTTCCACAGTAGAAAACCTTTGAGCAGCAAGGTAGGTTTGTTGTGGCAAAGAGCCGTGTGGAAATTCAATCTTACTACACTTTCCACATAGGAGCAGATTTTCCTTTTGACCCCTCTGTGAAACAGGGGAATCTGTCTCTTCTTGCTGGTCCTACATATGAAGACATACTTTGCTGTGCAAAGCCACTGAGGGGAATTCCCTTATCTGCTGTAGGACTTGCTGCTATGTGGGGTGGGTGGGATGCTGCCTTTCAGAAAAGGGAATGCCTGGGAGAGGTCTTGGCTCATGCTTGAGAAATATTGCTAGCATAAGGCATGTTTTTAAAGCTACTTGAATAGCACCTAAAGTTTTAGCTCTCTTCTTCCACTTTTGAACTGTTTGGTAAAGTGAGAGATGTGGCTGTGGGTCATGGATATTACTGCTCCAAAAGCACAATAACCAAACTCAGTGTGTTAGGTAAGCCACGTGTTTCAGAGGAGGCCAACTCAAATGATGGCTGGGTGAAGGGGAATGAGCAGCTGTTTGCTTCTTCATCACTCAAGTCAGATGGCTTGAGGTACTGAGCATGAGTGTTCCACTTTCCCTGTGCTCATTCAGTTGCTGCTTGACACAGCTGAATGCCTGACCTGTGACCATCAAATCACAAAATCATTTTGAGTTGAAAGAGAGCTTTGAAGGTCATCTAGTCCAACTCCCCTGCAAGGAACAGGGATACCTACAAGCTAAATCAGGTGCTCAGAGCCCTGTTCAGCCTGACCTTGAATGTCTCCAGGGACTGGGCAATCTGTTCCAGTGCTTTACCACTGTTACTGTAAAGCTTTTTTACTGATAACCAATTTAAATCTCCCGGTTTAAATCTCTGCTCCTTTAGTTTGAAACCATTTAGCCTTGTCTTATTGCAACAAACCCTGCTAGAGCCTGTTCCCTTCTTTTACAAAGCCCCTTTATATACTGAAAGGCCACTGTCAGGTCTTTTCCAAGCCTTCTCCAGACCAAGCAGCCCCCACTCTCTCAACCTTTCCTTGCAGGGGAGGTGTTCCATCCCTTGGATTCTTTTTGTGGTCCTCCTCTGGATGTGCTCCACTGTATCCACATCTCTTCTGTGCTGAGGACTCCACATGTGGACATGTTACTCCAAGTGAAGTCTCACCAGCACAGAGTAGAGGAGCAGGATCACCTCCCCTTGACCTGCAGGCCACTCTTCCTTGGATGCAGTTCAGGGTACGTTTGGTTTTGTGGGCTGTGAGGGCACATTACTGGCTCGTGTCCAGTTTGCCATTCACCAGTACCTGAATTCCTCTTTGGCAGGGCTGTGCTGTATCCTTACACTTTCCATCTTGTACTGAGAGTGGAGGTTGCCACAACCCAGGTGCAAGAGCTTGCAATTGCATCTATTGAACCACATGAGTTGCACCTGGACCCACTACTCGAGCCTGTCTAGGCCTCTGTGAATGGCATCCCAGGCATGTCAACCAGACCACACAGCTTGGTGTTGTCCACAGACTTGCTAAGGGTGCACTCAGTCCCACTGTCGATATCATTGATGAAGATACTAAACATTGCTGGTGCCAGTACTGACTCCTGAAGGACATCACTGTGTCCGTCTGGACATTGAGCCGTTGACCACCGATCTCTGGCTACAGTCTCACAACCAGTTTCTCATCCATTGAACAGTTCACCCATCACATCCATACCTTTCCAATTTGGAGAGAAGGATGTAGTGGGGGACTGTTGTCAAAGGCCTTAATGAAATCCAGCTAGATGATGTCAATGGCTCTTCCATTGACTAATGACACAGTTGTTCCATTACAGAAAGCTCCTAGGTTGATCAGGCAGAACTTGCCCCTGGTGAAGCTATGTTGTAGGCAGTACTTAAAGCTGACTGTTTCCCTTCACAGAGTGATGTCGTTCAACTACTGTCAGTTTTTGGGGAAGAGCAGTGCTTGGTCCTTGTAGACACCCCAATCCTGAAGCCTTTTCCCGTATAAGCAAAGGTTTAAAGCAGGCCATGTTCCTCATTTTGTGTAATGTGAGGTCAACTAGGGATGGAGTTGGGGATTAAATCACCATCTGCTTGTTTTTTTAAATCTTATTTATGCATAAACAGGTGGTGATTTCTGCCTACTTATACAGCAGCTCTGGAGGTCATCAGCTACAAAATATGGGAGTGTCTTTGGTGAAGCTGATGGTCTGAATTCCTTTCGGTTTATGCTCTATTTCGAAAGCCTTATTGTGTCAGAACAAAGGCACTACTATAGATGTCATTTCACTGGAGTATACTTACAATTTAAGTTCATCATCTAATTACACGTGTCACTGAACAATGTGCTGCTGAGAAAAGTTCTTGTGATACTCTATCTGTATTGCTGGAGGCTGTACTGTCCTCGTGGGCCATTCTGACTTTTTAATCCTTGTTTTGACCTTCTTGAACTATGAGGCAGAATTTGGACTCAGAGCAGTCTCTCAACCAACACCACTCTTTCTGAATTCAAAGTGGGAGGTTTAGGCTAAGCAGACATACTGCCCCGGTTTAACACGCATAGGATGAGGCACACAATTATTTACAAGTATGCTCCTTACCTGCTGCAAATTCAAGGTTAAATGGATTAGTTTAAATCTCTGTTGCTGAGGCTTGAGCTAATATGTCTTATCTTGAGTTTGCTATTGACTGTGTCCTCAGTGCAGTCACCCAGGCTCAGCTGATATGTGGTAACTCATTAAGCTTGCTAACATACTCATTTTTCTGAGCCTTTTATAGCAGGGAGAGAAGAGCTGAAGGAAGGATTTTTCTCCCCTGTGTGTCTTGAGCTGCTGTTGGTGCACCTACAGCCAGGTGAGGCCTTGTGAGATAGGAAAAGAGTAGTGCTGTCAGTGACTGCAAATGGAAAATCAGGCTCTGCCTTGAGAGGCTGCAGCCTCTGCCTGCTTCTAGAGCCCATGCTTTCTCCTCATCTCCATCACGGATACTTGCTTGGTGGCTGTATTTCAGCTTTGTTTTCAGTATCAAACATCTGCAAAGAGAGAACACACAGGGACTGCGTCTTCCTGGTGGGAAACATCTGTGTCTGCATATACAGATTTTCTTAGTTCTTATTGCTGCCTTTAGGCTATCAGCCTGCTGCTTCAACCACTCTGAAGGGGGAAAAACCCACCTCACGTGGGTCTCTGTAGGTGAACTCAGACTCCATCAGTTCACAGAAACTCAGTTTACTGCCCAAGAGTTATTCTTGCCACACTGGAGCCTGTTTTGCATGAGAGTCATTTATGTGAAGGTGCTTAAAATATGCTAGACATCACATCTGCTAGGGAGAAACTTCCAACTTTACAGCTTGCTGTGCTTGGAAGCAGAATAATTGTCCTAAAGCCAGTGTGACAGCAACAGCTCCTGAGCCAAATCCAGCTCTGCACACTAATATTGCAAACACTATATCCTCAGTGGGGAGATCTCCTGTTTTCTGTGTTACTTTAACAGGCGTTCTACATTACTGACTTCACTGCAGCTTGGCTAACAGTTCTAGCTGTCTCAGTAGC